CCCCCCCGTCTCGTCCCTCCTCTTAAAATTCAAGGATTTCGCCCACCCCCTACTTTCCACGGTCTATATGGGCTGGTATTTTAGAAATTACGGTTTGGTCCATCAGCGGCCGCAAAAACCTTTCCACCTACTTCAGCCATTTTGGACCGTCCACATGTACTGTTCTTTCAACATTGCATGGATTGGCACCATTGAATAGCAGTCTGTTTTGTTGATCTGTCATCTCTACTTCTTGTCATATATAATTAGCCTGCACCTAGCCTTTCATTCTGGCTTGCGCAACACATCAGTCATGCAGTCACTGTGGAATAAACTTATCAAATTCATACTAATTACCACAGTCGTCGTACTGACGAGGTCCAGTTGTGATAATGGTAAGAAATGTATACGACTTGATGGACCGAAACATTTCTTACCATTAAAAAATTTTTTAACATTTTATTAGTTCTTTTTTTAACGTAAAAATATTTTATTTTATTTGTCTTACTACTTCACTAGGGATGTGCTGCAACTTGCTGACATCCGCACTGTTTTGTTGAAGAAATAGCTGTCAGCCCTGGCTCGTCATAAGTTACGAAATGTTATTGTTTTAGTTTGAAGCGGCATTTCGTATGTCATTTTTCGGTGATGTACAAGCACGACGGGATACGGAACAAATGCAAGCAGTTCGCGATCAGGCCGATTGGCTTCTGACGAATATCATCCCACAGCATGCCATCGATTCACTGAAATCAAGCACCAAATACTCCGAGAATCACGCCATGACAGCTGTTCTTTTTGCTACAATCACCAACTGGAATGAAATGTATGAGGAAACTTTTGAAGGTTATTATTTGCCGTTTTGCTTATAGAATGTTTTGTTTGTGTAATAAAGAAGTTGCTGGTGATATACTTTAAATACAAAAAGGAATAAATTTATGCAAAAATTAAAAAATAATTAAATGAATAGAAAAATGTTTCGGTCCAGTAAGTCGTATACCATCTTATTCAGAACCACAACTGAACCTCGTTGGTACTACTGTTGTGATTTTGATGAATTAAGAGTGGTAATTAACAGAAGCATAAGTGAAAATGTGGATATGAATGTATAGCAAGACAATATTTGGGAAATATGGAGGTGATAAAAAATAATAATGAATAAGTCGATTTGACGGGATTAATGTAAATTTTACCTGGACTCCTCTACTTTCTTCCGAATAATTCATCAAGGGACATAGGGTTTCTACATGTTTTACTGAACTTTAATTATGATTATTTGCAGGTGGACGAGAATTTTTACGGGTTTTAAATGAAATTATTGGAGATTTTGATGAGCTACTGGATAGGCCTGATTTTTCACAGGTCGAAAAAATCAAAACAATCGGGCCTACTTATATGGCAGCATCAGGGCTCAATCCGGATCGAAGGCGTCTGGCACTTCATCCCTACGAACATCTGTATCAGGTCGGTGGAATTTTTTTGCTTGATTACACTGTTCTTGTATTTGACTGGCTGATTGATGACTTATCAAAAAGATCGATTTATTGTTAGGTAGCATTATTCTCAGGACAAAATTCGGAAGTTCGGTTTCTTTACAATTCTTTCATTCATTTCGATAGTAAATCAGTACTAGCACATACCAGGGAATTGAATTTCCCATGCTTCCAAACAACTCCTGGAAATGGAAGCCATGGATAGTTTTGCCGGACGATGGTTACTTTTGATGATGTGCTATTAACGGGGCTAGAAAGATTGTCCCCAAATCTTGCAGATAATGGAATCTAAAGGGGGGCTTTGGATCTGTGAATATGCAGTTATAAGGGAGTGGAAAGACATTATCCAGATCTTGGAGAAATGAAAGATTTGGATTTGCTTTGTTCAAAGCTTTTTTTATGCGTTTTTGCCGTGCAGCGCTAGAGCGCTGCAACAGGCAGCAAAAACGCATGTTGGAA